AGTGTTGGGAGAAGGGACAGGCTTCCCAGATCACAGCTTCCAACCTTGTTCAGAATTACAAGAAGAGAAAGTTCACTGACACGGAAGACTGAAGGAAATTCTGGGACATTATTGCATAGACAGCCTCTGACCATTTAATGGAAATCCATGTAAGGAAACCCAAAACTCTTCTGAGTGAAGAGGAAAGCCAGGCTGAGTAAGAAAAGCAAGCGCTCCTCGGGACCTGCAGGATGGCCAGTGGCGGGTTTCTCCACGCCCTCGCTCCCCTCCCAGCACCTCAGAAGTGACAAAATTACCTCTGTGTTGGAAATTATAGAAGTCTTTGGGTTCCCAAATTGTACAGATGTCTTGATGTAACCTAGATGACAGAAAGCTTCGGAAAATGCCTATTTTAACATGAAATTATTTTTACAATTTGATTTTAGTACCAAATGATCAGCTTTGCTTATGAGTGCGTTCTGTACCAGCACTATTTTTGTGATTCTGGTACTGCAGATGATCAGCAAAGTCATCAGCGAATTTTGTCTTTGATTGTATTTGACAGTAATGCCCAAATAAACTCATGTTTTAGCAATTGCTCTTTTGTTTGTACACTACGCATAAATATGAGATGTGTTCTCTGTTGGGCTGTGCAGTGTCCTAGGAGAATGAGGCTCCATTATTGTGGTACTGTGTTGGCTAAGACCCAAGAAACCATTGTAGAGTAAGAAAAGCATATTACTTAATTTCTGGCATCTTTATTTTCAGAGATATTTTTGTAGTTAGAGGTTTCCAAGGGCTGAGAATATAGCTCGGGGACACAGCATCTGCCTGATAAGTGCGAGAAACAAAACCAGGATAGTCCAAGGCTGCTACCTTTTTTTTTTTTTTTTACTTCAGGAACTATATGTCAAGGAATATGAGAACAGTCACCAACAGGCACATGTAGAATTTATTCCATTTGAAATTTTGAACACGTGTAGCTTCTGAACCCACTTCCAGTTACACGTCTGCCTTCGAGCTCATCAGACTATTCCCTCCTGTACAGCCCTCCCCAAGTCAGTGTTTTTGGATTACTGTTTGATCTCTTCAAAGAGGTACTTTTCAGAAAGAGGTCAACAAATTGACTCAGATAGATACCAACTTGCTGCTAAAATCCAGTAAATGTATGCGTTTTCCTCTTAAGGATCCTATTTCCACATAAGTCTAGGCAGAAGACCCCACTGCATGCAGCTTTTTCCAGGGACAGTATGGGCTACAGGGAGTGGGACAAGGCTGGCTCTTCTTGATTTCTTCCTGCTCTCCCTGACCTCAGAACTGTGGGCAGCTCCAGGCTAAGTCCTTGCAACCCTCTTCATCTTCTTTGATGTGATGCTAGTAATTGAATACGTAGCCTCAGCCATGCTAGGCAAGCACTCCACCTCTGAGCTACATCCTCAGCCCTGTTTATTTTGTGTTTGGGTTAGGGCCTTGCTGAGTTGCCCAGGCTAACCTTGAACTTAGGATCTTCCTGTTCGAGTCCAATAGCTGGGTCCTCGGCATGTGATCCTGTGCCCTTTGGATCGCCATATGCTGAGCACTCCCCAGTTCAGATCTCTAGTTCAGCCTCCGTCCAGCTGCAGACTTGCATCCAGCCGAGTGCTTGGTGTGTGTACTTGAGTCACCTCCGTTCTTACCCCTAGCATACCCCTGTGACCTTTCTCATCTTCACTGATGACAACTCCCAGGACAAAGCCCTGAATGCCCTCTCTGAACTTAACTCTATTTCTTCATATGTTTTGGACCCACCTTTGAATCATTCAGGGAATCTGAAAAGTCAGGCATGGTGGTACATACCTGTAATCCCAGCCCTCAGGAGGCTGAGAAAGAGAATCCTAAATTCCAGGCCAGCCTGGACTACATAATGAAACCCTATCTCAAAAACAAACAAAAAGAATTGACCGGGGCTGGTGAGATGGCTCAGTGGTCTAAAGCACCTACTTAGAACAAGCT